GCACCGATGGACGAAATATCAAGCTTACCTGCGAAGGAAAGGTCTATAGAAAGGGGGCAATTTCGTATTTCAGAGGAGAGTAAAAAGGAACTTCGTACATTTTATACGAGTACCAAAGGGCAGGAACTGAAGATGGTACAAAATGAAAATAAATGGCCCACATGTAATATAAAAAAAAAAAAAAAAGAAAAAAAAAAGGCCTATAGGAAGAAAAGGAGGATTGTGTCCATGAGTGTGGTCTTAATAATCGAGAAGGCACAATTTAAGCTGTGGTTATAGTTGGGAAAGTGACAAATTTTATTACAACTTGAACAAAAGTGGAAATTAAAAAAAACCAGATACTAATAATGCAAATTTGCTGTTTTCGGTTTACGCAACTGCTGCCATCTGTGGACACGCATATTAACTAAGCATATGTTAATAATTCTGAAACTAAGTTCTTGATGTGATGTTTCTAGTATTGTTTAACGATAGCAATGTGAATTACATTGGCTAATAATGAAAATATCATGTACTAGCCGGCTATGCGACCCGTCTTCGTCTGGCACTCCTATTATTTTCTTGCTTTATGTTTCTTTCTTCGAAGTTAGTGACCAAGTACTTATTACAGTAGCAAATCGTTACTAGAAAAACGTCGCCTAAAGTATCCGTGGGGTTAATTCCTCCAGTTAGGTTCGTCAGTGTTACTGCTTTTCTGCAATACACTATATCTTTCAGCGTCCACCATAGATAAAAGTTTAAAGGTGTTAAATCACGTGAATGCGGTCGGAACTCGAGTGCACATCTTCGTTCAGTTCAGCGTCTTTGCACATTTTCATCTAGGTAATTTAGCACTTGTCTGTGGTGCTACTCTGTCTTTTGAGAGAAGAATTCATCATTCCCCACAGAATGCTCGTATAAACGAGGTAAAACGGATGAGCGTAGCATATCTACGGACGCTTGACTTGTAACAGTTAATTCAAAGATGAAAAGCTCTATTAAACCCTTGGTTGACAACCTACAACAAACACTGAGCAAACACAGAAGCTGCAATTAACCTGAATGTAACTTTTTGCATCGTTTAACTCAAAATTTAGCTATAAATTTCCCATACCTTTATGCATGGTCACGTAAAACGCAAGGAAGAAATTAGAGAAATGTTATTGCAAACATTATGCAATAATACGAGGTAGGGAAATTTTTAAAAATAAATATTGATATTAAATTTATAATATTATCCATCCAAAAACAATGTAATAAATAAACTGTTTGCAACGTTGTTAACGTAACTGTTTGCAAACATCGTTAATATATGTTTAATTATTTCGATTTCAAAATATGAACAGTGTCCTTTAAATCATTAAGAAGTTTTAACTGCCCTTCATTAGCACTGCATGCTATCTTTAAAAAAAAACTCCTCCCTGCAATCCTTTAAAATACCTAATATGTTCGAGATTATTAGCCACATACTCTCTAACAAAAATATCATTAGGAATCGTTGGCTATAAATCTGTTAACAAAATGGGGCCATATGAATTATACCATTGTAAAATGAAAGCATCGTTATCTACACCAGCATATTCTAATTCATCAAAAACAGCTCAGTGCCTTCTGAAGACATTGAGTCAAATCAGAAAGAAGAATGCGATTGTGTGCAAATATTCGTCCAGTTTAGCGTGTTTCTGTTCCTGCTTTGAAGAGCCGATAAATAAAAATTAGCGAAGTTTTGTATCCACATTCCAAATCATATTCATTCAGAATATGTAGCATTTATAAATATTAAGTTTTTTGAAGCAGGAAACTTGAAAAATCAATTATGTTCTTTCCGAGACAAACTACGGGTCCTACGTTTGCCAGCTGGACGTACTACCAGTTACACTACGCAAGCATGCGTGAAACAATTCAATAATTCCTTTTATTATTCCCTACTTAAGGAGAGAACGACTGCGGAAAGGTACGATGATACCCTAACGAACAATTCCAGGTGATGATGAATTATCATGAACCACATTTTAGTTCGGGCACCAACCTAGAGGCATTCTAAATTTTCTGAATCTAGGGAAAACGAGAAACCAGCTATACTTTCGCCGGAATTCGAGCTATAGATCTTCCAATTAAATATCTAACTCGATCCACGCTGTGAAGTTTGATTGTTAACTTTCAATTTTGAAATGTATCGAGAAGCACTGCCTTGAAATAGTACATTTAATGTAATAAAAAGTGTGATATAATCTTGAGCATTTGTACACAATCGCGCTTTTTCGAAATCCTAACCAAATTAACAAAAAATGGATTAAATGTTAACGAATAAATAATTAAAGTGAAAAATTTTAAAGCTCATTAACGGATTGAAACTAATAACCTCTTCAAGCAACTCATTTTAAAACTTGACATATGTCTTCTTAGAATTTAAAAGAAAATGTGAAAAAGAAAGAAACAAAAATGTGAAAAAGATAGGAAAGAAAATTTGAATAAGTCTCGCAATCAAGAATTCTAAAGATGCAAATACTGCACACTTAACGGGTTAATTCAATATCTAATCCTGGCGAACAGGTTCCCTGCATGAGCATTTTCATGGTTTCACCCGTGTGTAATGTAAATACTAGCTGGTTTCCCTTAAAATGCTCTCTACGAAAATATCCCTCTGCTTAGACAAATAGCCTTGGTATAATTTGCACACTGAATTTAAGAAACAAACATAATATAATAGAAGGAAGATGCCTTTTTCTTTACGGAAAAGGGGAGCAAGCAATCTTGAGAAATGTCAGAATTTAATTTTAAAGATGACTATACCAACAGAATATAAAGAGAAGTGAAAAATAAAGTTTAATAAATCCGATTGTCAAGAATCAATTGATAAAAGAACTAAATTTGCCCCCCCAAAAGTATTTGTTCACAGTAGAAATGAAAGATATTTTAATCTCTTAACCTAAAAAAAAAAAAACAGGTTGGGCCCACCAGCGGCCGAGCGGTAAAGGCGCTGAACACTGGTAGTTCGGTCCAGGTTCCGAGCTCCGCAACGGGTTGGTTTCATGGCGTTTCTTATTTGCTCCCCATGTGTAACGGTATACAAGCCGTTTTATAAAGTCCCCACGAAGGCAATTCGCCCCTAGCAGATAGCCCTCGAGGCTTTGCTATAATCACATACACACTTAACTAAAAAGGAGGAATCAAAAATTAAATGAGATAGCTTCTGATTTCTAGCTGGTGAAACTTAATGTTATTGAATTTATGTATTTTGAAAAGGAGCAGCTATTACTTAGCACTAAAATATTCAAATGATATAAATGCTTCAAATATTGCATCAGATATATCTAGTTTTGAAACTACGCTGTTTCAATATAATAGTAAAATCAGATCTTCTAAAACGAATGCAGGAAGGCAATTTAGTTCGAACATATCTGAACTTGAAAACTGTGATAAGAATATTTTTAATGTTTCTATTTACTTCAAATTATAAAAGAATTCATTAAATTATAAATTTATTTTTAAGTACATTAAATTATAAAAAAAAGCCTGAATACCAACGTAAGAATTTTATGTTAACTGCTGCATTATTTATTTTATTTCAGTGTTATTTGCTGTTTATCAAAAAGGTAGTATTCAACGTTTTCTTTCAAAAATTATAATTTATTATATGCTTTCGGAATGCATAATGTTATAATTAAAAATACTGTAAGACGTATGGTATGGTTTTATTTAATTTTGTTGGATATGGACGTATACAGATACATTTTATTTGATTGCATATAGGGGCGCGCATTTACCTCTTTGACTCAAGTGAAAAAATATCTGGTAACGGCTCTTGCTTTTACCAAAGAATTATTAGCTTTTAAATTTTGAATTACATCCAAGCAATAGTAAACTGTTTATTGGAAGTCACTGATAATGTGTTAAAAGAAATTCATTGAAAACTAGTTATGGTTAGACAGGTGAAAGCTATAATACAGCATGAGCCCAAAAGTCTTTAATCAGCCTTTATTTGGGCATAGATATAATGACAATTTTTTTTTAAATGACAAAAAGATTCAGTTTTTGGTATTCTTAAATTTAAAGAAATCATTTTTATAAAAATTACGAAATCTATGTTCCATCGGTTTCTATACTTACATTTAGAAAAATTTTGCACTCGTTATAAAAAAAAATAATTTATAAAACGTTTGACTCTTGTTCGACAATAAATCGGGAATCACATTCAGGGGCTGTATACAAATCAAAGAGCGAAATGCTTGCTTTTTTTATTCACAACTTAATATAAGATATCTTTTCAAAAGGGTTTTCTGATGTTAGGATATTACTTGGCGATCATTTCTATGCATATTATTATAAAAATATTGATCAATGTAATTTTTAAATGGATATTTTATGCACAGAATTTTTAAGGTTTGCTCTCTAGAAAACACTGGTATTGGTACGTAGCTAACTCCTGATATTATTTGAATTAATTAAAAAGGAAAATTATTTTTATATTAATGAATTTTTAAGATTATCCGATTATGATTTTAAAGTAATAAATCTTCATGAGAATAATAATGACGTATTTTTAGACTTTAAATATCTATAAATTACTTGTGTGAAAGTTTTTTCGCCATACCAAATGTAACAAAATAATGAATAAAAACACTTTCATATTTAATTATTAATGCTATGATTCATACTTAATGATTTAATATTTAACAATTATTCTTTGTAATCACAGCCATTTTCTTCTCTCTAAGTAAGTAAATGCCTAAGTTTTTAATATGAATGATAAGCATGATTCTACTTCAATTATTCTAATTATTAATGCTATGATTCATACTTAATGATTTAATATTTAACAATTATTCTTTGTAATCACAGCCATCTTTCTTCTCTCTAAGTAAGTAAATGCCTAAGTTTTGTGCTAACACATTGTTAAAAAAAGACTGAAATTGTGTATAATTATAACTGTCATACGTGCGAAGCAAATATTTCTGTGTCAAAGTATGCTCAAGTTCTAGCATTCAATCCAAAAGAAACCGAGAAAAATGCCAGTCAAATACTAACAAAAATAAACTTTATTCATATTCAATAAATTCGATTAATTACAATCTTTTGGTAGGTGTTTTTTTGAAAATATCTGCTGTATTAATACTGCTGTATCTCGAAGTACCTTGCTTTCCTCCTGCAAAATGAGTAAATACAAATAAAACAGAGCATTAAGATGACACCAAATCATAAAATCATCTCATTTATTAAAGGAATTTACAAGGTTGTTAAGTACTTCAAGATATTAATTTAGAAGTCAAACAACAAAAATCAGCGTTATATTTTCACGTTTTCACAGGACTAGCTTCGATATTTTTACCGAACCATCATCCTCAGCTGCAAAAGCGCAAACGCTGATTTTTGTTGTTTGACTTCTAAATTAATATTTGTTCGGCGTGTAATTGTATCTTAATTACTTCAAGGTATTTACAAAGTTGTAAGTACTTCATTTTATATTAAAAAGTAATATAATATTTAACGCAATTTATTCTGAATTGAATGAATGATTACATCAAGTTTCGATATGTGGACAATCTCTTGGTGTTTTAATTAGGAAAAATTCAGATTAAATTGGCGTATCGTGCCATGTCAGAATTTTCTTTATAAAATTACCTTCCAGTTTAAGTTAAAATTTTTTAAGTTTTAAAGTTTATTTTTAGAATACTTTTCTTACATCTATTATTTAGCCGTTAATGAAACAACAGCGAAATTAAAATACACACGTTCCCACATACGAAATATACATTTATATAAAATATGTAGCACATATTTTGTATTCTTGATATCAGAAAAAAGATTGTTTTATCTTAATCGAGTAAGAGTGTGTAATGTCACGGATTTTACAAAAAAATGTAAACACTCTGCTTCCAAAACTTATTGTTTATCTTCTAGAGACATTAGACATTTGTAAGCAGCAGAAGTGAAAAATGAACAACGCCTTCGCCGGGAATCGAACCACGGACCTCTGGAATACGTGCCCAGCATGCAGACCACCACACCACGAAGCCATGCCAAGAAGGCGGGAGAAATACCTTATATACTCCCCCTTTTAAAGGGCGACTGGGGTTTTTAGGGAACCTAATCGCCAAATTCTGGGTGTGGAGAATCATTATCCACCACCCTTCTAGTTCGGGCGCTACTGTAGAGATATTAGGTATTTTTTTGGAAGCAGGAATAATGAAAAATTAGCAACGCCTTCGCCGGGAATCGAACCGCGGACCTCTAGAATACACGTCAAGCGTGCTGACCTCTCCAAGAAGCCGGGGAGGAATACATAATCTTATTGATTGTTTTATCTTACTCGAGTAAGAGTGTGTAATGTATACATACAGGGATTGTACAAAAGAAAAATACAAACACTCTGCTTCCAAAAATTAATGTTATTTCTATCTATTACACAGTAACTTGTAACTGGCCATCACTTTTTGTATGATCATTTTATATATAAACTCAAGGTGGTAAGAAATCGTAAATTCCAGTTGTGTTTCCTAAAAAAAAAAAAAAAAAAAAAAAATGACTTGACTTTCTAAAGGGGTCAAATTGTTTGTGCCTAGTTCCTTTGTTGCCTGTGTAACTTCGCTTAAGTTATTGAGGATATCGAAAGGTATTGTACCTAAAGCAATGAAGAGATAAAATGTTCTCGGCGAAACATTGTCTCCGAGACACAAAGAAGAAAACGTAACTCTGACAAAAGAGGATTGTTACGTTAGAAAGAAACCTACTGAGAAAAATGATGACTCCAAAGCTTAATATGCGTCTACAGAACCAAGTGTTGTCCCATACACTATGAAACGAAATGCATAAGTAGAATGGCTCAGATGCTATCGCAAAACTGCTTGATTCAAAAATAAATGCAGACTATAGTGGTGGCAAGAACATAAAGCGAGAAAAGCTGGCCCACCAGCGGCCGAGCGGTAAAGTCGCTGAACACTGGTAGTTCGGTCCGAGGTTTGAATCCCGCGAACGGGCTGGCTGCATGGGCGTTTTCGTGGTTTTCCCCATGTGTAACGTGTATACGAGCCAGTTTCCCTTAGAAAGTCCTCCACGAAGGCATCCCTCCTCTTAGGCAGATAGCCCTCGAGGCTTTGCCATAATTACACACACACACACGGGAAAAGCTGATCAATGAAAGAAGTACGGTTTTCGCCGCCCAGACGTTATAGTGGTTAGGGAAGCCTACTGTGATACCAAAGGGCGGAGAAGGCATGGATGTTTGTAAACGTACAGTGTCGGTGCGGCATGGAGGCACTCTAAATATGCGGCGAGCCGAAAGTCCTCTCGAGACGTTGGTGGTAGGGGAAGACGGGTGGGAGACCCTCGAAACCCGTCTCCCCAGGATGCTTTCCTTCAAAATTGGAGGCGGAAAAGAGCGAAATCATACTGTCACCTGTACGGTGTTCAAGGCTTTGCCAACGACAGGAGCAATCTTGCTTTTCTTGCCGCGATGAATTTCGTGGGCTTGTTCTGATACCACTGTCAGGCAAGTGATGTAAGTTATTTCTCCCACATTCTTGGCGTGCCTTCGTGGTGTAGATGTTCTGAACTCTGGGCCGGTATTCCAGAAGTCCGTGGTTCGATTCCCGGCGAAGGCGTTTGTTAAATTTTCATCTCTCTTGCTTCCAAAAAATCCTAATGTCTCTACAAAGTCACAATACCAACAACACAACATATTACGGTTTTCAGATGAGTCAACCTTCACATTGTTTTCCGCCTGAGAACGACTTTATGCCCGAAGCTTACAATCCAGACGGTATGTTTCCTACAGGAAAACATGGTGGTGGTTCAGTTATGGTGTTGGGTCATTATATCGTGGTTTACAGCAGGTCCAGTAATCAGCTTATAAGAAAAAATAAATATTTTTGACTAAGTAACCATTTAAAGCGGCCATGTCCATCAATGTTGCAGACGTCATATTCTGTATGTAACTGTAATTTTCATGATGATAAGGCCCCCACTGAAATTGTTCAGTAGAAATCTGAAGAACATGGAGAAGAAATTATGTGTCTTTTCTGGCCTGCACAGTGATTAGACTTAAATATCAGTGAATCTCTGAGGTGCGATAGAAACTATATTACGATCATGTTTTTCTTTTCAAGCACCTGTCAAGGAAGCAGTTTTCTAACCGAAAAAAGGTATAAAATCCCTATTATCGCCATTCAGAGTTTGAATGCTTTCCCTACAAAAGAATTTCAAGACTTAGGCACCAATGGCGCTCCTGCGCCATATTTCTTGGACAGCCTTCACATTTTCAGGTGGTTCCATAATTCTGACCATCCCTTCCAATTAACAGAGAATGTAAACATTTTTTAGTCTAATAGACAGTATAAGGGGATCAGAATAAAATAACTTTCTAATACGAATCCTTGACCTTCAAAGTAATTAAGAACTAGAAGCTTTTAAACACAAATCTGTATTACACTGTAGTTGGTGCTCACGAATCACAAACTTACCAAGAAGCAAATCTATCGTAAGAAAAAAAAATTAAGCATTGCAGGTAATTAACATCATAAGTTCTAAGGTACTTCTCCAGCCTTCCTGGTGTGGTGGTTCTGCACGCTGGGTCGCTATTCCAGAGGTCCGTGGTTCGATTCCAGGCGAAGGCGGTTGCTAATTTTTCATTTCTCCGGCTTTTTCAATTAACCTATTGTCTGTACAGTGGCGCCCGAACTAAAAGGGTTGTAGATGATGAGACTCCACACCCAGGATTTGGCGATTGGGTTCCCTAAAAACCCCAGTCGCCCTTTAAAAAGGGGAGCATATAAGGTATTTCTCCCACTTTCCTAGCGTTCCTTCGTGGAGTAGTGGTTCTGCACGCTCGGCCGGTATTCCAGAGGTCCGTGGTTCGATTCCCGGCGAAGGCGTTGCTAATTTTTCATCTTGCCTGCCTCCAAAAAATACCTAATGTCTCTACAAAGTGAACGATTTCTGAAAAAAAAAGAATATACGAATATACAGATAAGAATTTGTAAGATGTACAAATCTTTTAATAACAATAACATCGACTTGAGTTTTAACCGAGCATGACCTTTTACTTACATATTATCTCACGCAAGTAAAGTAATAATTGAAATAATCCACTAAAATTAGTGACGTTCACTAGAATTTTACTGTCGATTCCCAATAATAACCATGCATATAATAGTTCAGCTGAGTTTAAGTCTTGGTTTTCATTTTTTAATTTATTTTTGTTTCGTAATCCTAACTCCATTTTTATTTTGCTGTTTATTATAAATTCTTTTTTTTTCCTTCTGTGTTGCGTAGTTCCTACAAATAGTATTTAAATACGTAGGTCGTATCTTGATTTTCAGTTTGTTTACTTTCCTTTATCTAACTTTTCATTGCTCCATAGTGGTCGTACGGTTAATGACTGCTGAATACTGGTAGTTCGTCCTGAGCCCGAGCCCAGACCGATAGATGGCTGTATGGTTGGTTATTGCGGTTTTCCCGTGTGTAGTGAATACGAAGTTTCCTTTAGAAAGCCATCCAGTCTTTAAAGTCATCTTTATCCTTAGGCAGCCAGCCTCGTCCACTCGAATACAGTTTCCTCGAAATAGTCCAAAAAAAAAAAAAAAAACCTAATAACCTAACCTTTCGTTACTAAGCGATTGTTTCTCGGATTTTGTTTCAGAGGCGTTTACTTCAAAGCTCACTGGCTAATATCCTTGTATATTTTGAGATCTAGATAGAAAGCACATGACATTTGTTTCTAGTGTTGCGGCCAAAATTGTTTTCAAAGGGGATCGAGATGCGCCTTCAATTAGCCCAGTGCTTTTTTTGCACAGTGTGATTATTCCCCCATTGCATTTCCTTTACATAACAACACTGCAATATAGAAACTGTAATTGAAGGCTTCTTATTGACTCATGAATACTACTTAGATCACCGAAAAAATCATTACATTCTGAATGATGTTTTACACGCTCCTGAAGATTGTGAACAACGTTTATGTTTATCATCAAAGTATCCCTGTTTAGGTCACTGAGGATTATCTCATTTTTCATATTATGTAAAGCTTTGCAGCCTTCTTTATCGGTATAGTGGTTAGTGATACTGGTTGCTGTTTCATTTGGCCCAAATTCGAATCTCAGAGGGGATATGGATGTTTATAAGTATCTAGTGTCTGGGAGACTTAAAATACTGGCGATCCGAAAGTCATCTTTATTGGTATAGGAAGAAAAGTGGGAGATCCTCAAATACGTTCTCTGAGGAAGTTTACAGAAGATGTAAATTTTATTGATCATGTGTTATATTTTTCTTATGGAACTATTTCAACTTCCTTACACTTAGCAAATTAATTATTTTTCCATCTATCTGCATCTACAGTTTACAATCATTATACTCGTACATTTACAATATTATGCCTCTTTGTCAAACAATAAGGAGCTTCCCCATAAACTGAGCCGGCCATTTGGCTGTGCAGGAAAGTTGCGAAGAAATAAAAGTTATGCCCAAGGGCAGTTAGCAGCAGCGAAACTTGCCTTCTTCGTGGATTTCTTCCATGATGTAGTCTGTCTGTGTAGTCAAGCGTACCACATGCAAAAACCAAGCCAGTTTCATTATAAAGGTCCCTATGAAGCGATCCTTCTTAAGCCAATAACCAATGAGTACTTTAATTAACAAAACAACTAATCTATATTCAGCTGAGTGATATTTCTCTTAAAACTATTTAAAAATTATTTGATTTTCTATGCATCGTCATTTAAATTAACGCACTGCATTTCAAATCAATTTTATAGGCTGAGGGATAATTCTGTAAATTTATCCGGAAAATTACTATGCGATATCTCTGTTATGTTTTTTTATATCAAAGTAATTCTTAAGTTAGCAAACATATATTTTTTATAAGAGTAACATAATCCGCAAAATTAACTGATTGGTAATAAATATCGTCTCAAGTATTTAAATTTGCCTAAAAAAATTCTCAATAAGTTTGTTTCAACTTACCTCCATTTTTCGACACATTCTGGTTACTTGCCATACCATAATGGCCACACAGCTGATAAGGGAGCAGAATATCCATAGTTATAAGAGTAGACAATAGGGTAGGGGGCAGCTGCAATGGAAGCGAGAGAAGGGTAGTATGGCACAACGTATGTTCCTATAGCCAAGCCAAGAAATAACAAAAGGATGGCTGCAGCCTAGAAAAAAGGCATTACGGTAAAAAAAAAAAAGCTAGAATTTAATTGAAAAGTTTCGCTAAGTTTGAACTAAGTATCGTTATATAGAATTCTAAATTTACTTTAAATTTCCTCAATAAGCGAGCACACCAGAGGCCGAGCGGTAAAGACGCTGAACACTGGTAGTTCAGTCCGAGGTTCGAATCCCGCGAACGGGCTGGCTGCATGGGCGTTTTCGTGGTTTTCTCCATGTGTAACGTGTATACGAGCCAGTTTCCATTAGAAAGTCCTCCACGAAAGCCTCTCTCCCTTTAAGGCAGATAGCCCTCGTGTGCTTTGCCATACTTGAGTAATCCAATCCTCGATAAGCAAAATCTTCAATTACTCGAAATCTCTAGTTCTTCATTTTTTAAGGTAATGGAATTTCGATTGCCTTTTATTAAATTCCATTTTAAAAATTTTTAAAAAAATTTTAAAAATTCTGAGATTTAAAATTAAAAAAGTTCTGAGATTCTAGCTGTTGTTTTTCATAAAAGTTCCGTACAGGAATTGAAAAAAAAAAAAAAAAAAAAAAAAGAGATGTTTTCTTTGGGTGCGGTAAACATCAAGGTAACGTGCGACTTCTTTTTTCAAAGCAAAAACTTGTAAGGCTAAAAACTTGGTTAAATCGCTTTTTGCATTACAAAATGAAATACAGCATTATTTGGTTTCGGAATTTCTATTTTTTTTTTATCTATTTAAACTGTTAATGAAAACAATGACATAGTTCAAAGTATTCTCGGAAGTTTCTTTACAAAACCAGACTCTTTTTCCATTTTAACAATCCATGTAAGAAATGTTATCTCTAGGACAATAACTAACCTTACATTAATGTCAGGAGAAATATGTCATCTGTAGGAATTCTTTATGAATATGAAAGATTTTTAATTTGCTCTAACGCGTTAGTTTATGTTGTTCTATCATATCTAAATCTATCCAGTTCCATTCCTAAAATACGTAAGTTTAATCACTGTGTTAGAAGACGTAGCACGGCAGAGAATACAGCAACCTTGAATAACCCTGTAAAGAGGGGATCTAATTACACTGCATTAATTTGATATCTTGCGGTTTTTTTAGTAGCTGTGAAGAGTTTGATAACGTAATCAGTTCAACATCAAGTAAGTAAACATCAGACATCGGATTTGTAAACAGACTTTAACCATCCAGAGATCTCGTGGCTGTTTATTTTTTTTTTATTCTGGTAGTAGCTCAACACTCGAGTGTCTTCATGTTCCGCTATTTCAATCAGTAAGTACTTGCACATCGACTTAAATTAAGCATATTTTACTCCTGTCAGGATCAAGAGACTCTTCAGTTCGTACGGTCTTCTATTTTATAACAACAAACCTTAACTTCAATAAATGTCTCAGTTCAACAAACCTCAATAAATGTCTCAGTTCTCGTACTTTATCCCGCGTTTTCCCCTGTGTTCTTAGTTGTCGAAGTTGTGTCGAATGGAAAGAAAGTGACAGCGCGCTTTTACTCTGCATCAAATAAAAGAATGTCTGGAACAACAAAACGATGATAAAAAGAATCGAGATAGTAGAATGGGATATTTCACTCAGCCGCCATCAGTCGGCGAATGTGTGCTTAGTTGCGCAGTTCTTTGCGATTCGTCACCTATCACAACTTACGCTGTGATGGATGGGCAGCTTAAGTCGGGAGGTAGTGTAATTAGATACGAAACAAACTTGTGCATTAGACCTTTAGAATACTTCTTCTAGCTTGCTCATGACTCATAAGTATCTGCAAGTGTTTGTTAATAAGAATCAATATCGATTGCTTTTATGAATCTATTTCAATTTGAAATAAAATTTTGTTGCTGCAATTAATCAGCAGCAAAGAAAAAATATCGAATTTAGGCATTACTCCCTATTAAAAATGTTGCTTAGAAACTTAAAATGTAAAAGCTGCTTTTTCAGATCGAAATAATATAAGTGATAGCTTTAAGTTGTGAAGTCAACTTCGCCGGGTCTCGAACTCCGGGCCTTCTGATTTCCAGTCGGACGTACTTTAAAGTTACACCACGAAAGTTAAAATAACACACAGAATTAAAATAATACTTAAAATTTTTATAAAAGGAAAAACATGTATTTTTATAAGGATTTCAAATTTTAGATATCCAAAGAAGAATACATTGAAAACAAAAGATTTAAAACTGATTTTAAAAGTCTAAAAACTTAATAAAAACTAAGACAGGTCTGATATGAATCGAAAACATGGCTGCTACAAAATTAGAGGTGCATCCTTTATCGTTCGAAATAATTGTTATCTATTTCAACCAGACTGTTATTAAACGTTGTATGTTTCAAAATCGATGCAAGCAGAAGAAAAAAAAAATGAAACCGGGTATTAAAAGAAAAACAAATATTGTATAACTAATAAAATTAGACAAAAACTATGCACAAAGTTGTAACATCTCCAAATTAACAAAGGCTAAGAAACCCTGTAACCACTTTAACTTTTATTTCCTACTTTACTTTACTTTTCCTACTTTACTTTTATTCAAACAGCACGTAACAAGGAAACTACCTTTCAAGTTAAATGACACTGTTAAAAGATTGATAAAAAAACAAATTCATTGCCTTATAAAAATTTAAAAAGAACAAACGTAAACATAAATGCTGCTAGAATAAGTTAATCTGTTAAGATATATTTCAGGAAAAGCGAATAAACGATGTAAATATTATCTTTCACCTTACACCATTTTGATTATAGGTTACCATTACTTCCACTAATATAAATTTTAAATACATTTAGATCCTTTCTTCTGTATTTAGATTTTCAACACTGTCTAATTATTGTTCATTTTGCACCATTTAATCTATGAAACAGAGGAAATACGTACCAATAGCTTCATGTTTAGTGCTTGAGGTATGAAAAACATTAAGCACTACAGCTGTAGATTCTGGGACAACACGGTCAGATAGGAACCCAGTCTTTATATATGTACCTGAACCACCCAAAATGCGGAAAATGACCTTCAGTTTTGCAACAAAGAACCGAAGTGTGGGCTTTGTTTTTATCCGTCAAAGTATTAAGGAGTCAGAAAGATTTCATTTTATGGGACATTGATTCATTGTCCGAAGCATTGTCCGCAAGGCTGAATCATGAAAAAAAAAACTTTATCATTCCAACTTGCTGACACTTGATGATGTACGACTCTTTTATTTCGAAAAACCACGAATCTATATTAAACAAGTTTTCTAACCAAAGGTGACGGTAGCCAGAGAATATTCTGCTGATTTTTTTGAGTTAAACGTGACATTTTGACAGGGATATTACGGCAAATTTTGAAGTTTGACGAACCGTAATAATTAATTGCTTTCTTTCTCTTTTTTGGGTTTCCTAGCTTCTAAACAAAGTTGTAAACTAAATCTAAGTTCTAAACAATTGTGAAAGCAGTATAGAGTAGTATTTTCATTATTATTTTTTTAATTTTACTTATTAAAGAATTATTTAATTCCTTAAGGGAAAAAAAGACCTTTATCGTGTAATTTTACTTTTTGTATTGTCATAATTATTTTACTTTATTTCTTTTGTGAAAGAATTCCTGTGTTACTACCTAATTTAATCACTGGCTTGTGAGGCAAAATTCCTTATTAAATTCTTCTGGCGTTCAATGATACTCAATTTTCTCATTCTTGGAATACCTTTTAGTTATCATATAAAAGTGTATCACTTTTTATGATAACTAAAAACTAACTTTATCTGTAATTGATTATTAATTACAGATAAAGACACGGAGTTTCTTTTTTTTTCATGCAATGAATGGCAAGAAATTTATAGACACTGTCGAGTTGGAGTTTGTTCTATCCCTTCTCTATTGAATGCACCTATAATGCATCCAAAAACTATGAAAACTAACTTATTAATCACTTTTTCAAGCCTCTTCTAGATTAGTTCCTTCTTATCAGATAAATGTGTAGAATCTCATTTCCATGGCAATTCTAATTCATATCTCCCAGCAAGAAGAGTTTGGTTTTGGTTAAACTCCCTCAAACCAGGGTTTCTGAAACTTTTCAAATTTTGTACCGCATAAATATGAAACAAAAGTATATGTACCACCATAAAAGCATTTCGCCATTAAAAATCAATACATCCTAAATGGAGTGTATATAATCAAAGAATAAAACCCTTTAAATATAGTTATGTACTTGTAAATGAACTTTTATTAACAATAAAATATAAATAAGTAACTACGAGTATACAAGGAGTCCGCTAACGTTCTTGTTCTTAGGGAAATCAAATTGCACTAAATTCTTAGAAAGTCCAAAATGATTTGGAATCATGCAATAAATTCTTAGAAAATTCCAAGAATGATTTTCCAAGTTTATAGTACCGTCGGAAAATTGTTCAAAACTCTTGGAAAAGTCAACATTTCAACATTGAAGCTAGAGTCGTAAACGTCAAAAAAGTGAAAAATATATGCGTTTCTGAATAATAAAGATTAAAACAAAATGTTAAAAGGGGCGCAATTATACATGCATTTTGAACATTCCTTTAAATTTTTTCTGTAAAAATTGTACTACTTAAAATATTGTAATGAACCACCAATGGTATATGTACCACTAATGGTATATGTATATGTTAAAGTTATTCTCCTTAAAACAGTTTTGACAGAAATAAGCTATTTTTAAAATTTCAAGTTCCCATAATGTGCTCAAATGATTCCTAGCATGCAGTGACAAAGTCGTTAAAATGGTACCACTTGCTCATGAATTCTCTTTTCTAATTACCGTCCACTCAATTTCAGTTTTTACCGCTGTCAAACCCCAATCTAGCTCAACTAAGATTATATTCAGAAATTTTGCAAACCATTAGCCCCAGTCAAAATGCCAAGTTCACTTTCTTCACAGAAAATACCTGCTAAATCTATTTTATTTCATTTCAAGTAATTTAAAATTTTACATTCATGAATTTTCCGATTAAATTCTCATATCGTTTTCTCCGAAAGAACTTCAAACTTCAAGTATACGCCGTTTTAAACCATTGACCTCGATAAAAGTACTTTTATGTTCCTTCGATTTCGTTTCATCCCCTCCCCCACAGCAGCGCGTATATTACAGTTTCATGCCTAAGTGGAGGAACGCTCGATGTCAGAATTCTTTCGATTACGTAGCCACTTTGGTTAGCCGAATCGCAGAAAGTATGAATCTTCGTATCTTAACCTTGAACCCGAGTGACTACGTAGAGAATTCGCAAGTAAACAGTTTCGTTCCTGCAGCAATTAGAACCGGAATTCTCTGTTTTATATACATTCGTTTTTCCTTGTTGAGGACACATAATGTCAAAATGAGAATTATTACACTACGTTCAACTGATTTTTTTTAACATTGCAAAATTTGCTTATATGACTTGCTTTTTTAAGACATGAAAAGTAAACACCTTTCCTTAATAATAACTGTGGTTTGTCATTTAAAGTTATATTTTATGGAACTTACCGTAAAAACCACAGTTACTTGTATTGTTATCCAGGCTTATCAATGCAGAGGCCGTCGCAAGTTCAGCTTCCTTTTTTCCCTCAGGTACAGAAGTCTTCTTTTTTAAAATTCAATAAGAACTAAACCCCGTTCTTGCTAATAAGACTGAGAGTCATTAGGGTTTTTTTTTTTTTTTTAGAAGCAAGAAACATGAAAAATGAGCAATGCCCTCGCAGGGATTTGAACCTCGGACCTCTCGAATCATCGCCGTGTGTTCTAACCGTTGCACCACGAATGCATGCTGGAAGGAGGAAGAGTATATAAGCCTTGGCACGTCCAGTCTCAGCGTCCTTCGTAACCATGCTTACAAGCAAATCATTGCATCCAAATTGTTTTTTTAACTGTTTATGATGGCCTTTCGTTAATTATATGGTGTTGCCGGAAAACTCAATCAGACGCTCAGCTTTCGATTCGGCTCCATAGACCAGATGTTGCATCTTAGCTTCATTAGGTTCAGACCTGTCTTCATGAAACTTCTAAAATAGGCTCCCAAAAGGGCAAATAATCCTTTGGGTTCCCTAAAAATTCCTTCAGCTTGATTTTAGGAAATTTAAAATTTCTTTTTTTTTTCAATTCTAACTGCAGCAGTTTCTTGCAATTCGTTTTACTTGTTTACAACAATTTCTAATTCTTTGTAGCTTTCAGCTTCTTCAAAAATCATCGGTGTAGTGTTTCCTACAATCTTCAGTCTTCGATAAGTTATCAGAAATCAATGACTAAGTGCCTTCATTTCGCTGAAACTTAACAATGCGTTCCAGTTTTCTTTTAAAATGGAAAATTCATTCAAATCCATAACTTAAGTAGTTTATTTTCAATTTTCTTCAGATTGAGATTAAATGATGTTCCCTTGTGCCTTTAAAGCATTCAAATCCATCTCCAGGGAATGATTCCAAGTTCTAAAATAAAAAATATATCAAAAAAAAAAATATTTTCAGTACATTTGTGTTCCGCATTTTGTAATTTAATTGTATTTTGAGTTCATTGTGATATGCATTTAATTACAATTAGTACTATATTTCGGATTTTCAGACTACCTCTGATGCTGAAAGTACTATCTATTGAACCAAATACTTGAACTTATCTGTTACACTTTTAACTCGATTTCACATGTCCTTCAAAACTCATTCTAAGGAATTAAAATAAATTAGAGAAGTGAAGAAAAAATAAAAAGGTCTTCGAAGAATGTTCCAAAAGGATTTAAAGGGAACCATTTCTGGTTAGCACAGATTCCAGTAGCATCGCCTTTTCTGGAAGACCCATTAGTACTTTGCTGTTCTTCAAAGGAATAATTTAAGTGCTACAGGTCCAGAAACCAGGAAATTAAATCGATTCACCCCTTGGTAAATTACGCATAATATCGCTCTGATTGGTTCAGAGGCTAGGGCTGCTATTTGACTAACTGTGGACCCAGGCTCGAATCCTGGAGAAGGCTTGGTTGTTAAGCTTAGAGTGTCTGTGTCTGTGCGACATGCGGGCTCTTGAAGTACCGTTAAGCCGAAACCTCTCGAGAGCTTTAGTGACAGATGAAGAAGGGAGATTCCCGATTTTCACAAGTGTAAAATCGGTTACCCCTATGGTGTACCTTGAGCAACGTTCTCGATGATGAGATGGCTAAATGGCTGTTGAGAATTGGCCATTCCCGACGAATGCATTAAGTTGCAAATTTCTAGACATTTGAAACAACAAGTTACGCATGATTAAAAAAAATTTTTGTTGTGATATTTTAGTTAGTTGTAAAATAAATTAGTTTGGTTTGTAAATAGCTGTATTTTAGTTTCAAACTATCATTTGAGCTCCACGTAATATTTGGATCTGAGTTTAGTTAAACTGTGACGAGTGAATAATAATCTATAATCGTTTACTTTCTTAACTCGTGTTATTATTGAGTTTTGTGCGACAGATAACCTGTTATAAAATGTTAGCAATGAGTTGAGCTCTTGATACCTATGTAAGAGATAAAACAAAGTCCTTTCGCAGCTGCAAAATTCATAGTAGTGTGTGTGTGTGTATTCTTTCTTTTTAAATCCTATAAGAAGTCTTCACGTCTGTCCAAGGATACTATTCAGTTAGTATGTGAAATCATGCACCTCGCCATTTATTCTTCAACTTTATAGTTTTGTATTATGAGTCTCGATTCAGTTTTATTGGATAAACTAAATGCGATCTTCATATTTACTTGTTCTTTCAAACCGTATTCAAAGGATGCATCTCATAGCTTTTCCCGCTTTGAAGTTTTCTGAATTAGCTTCTCCGCGTGTTCTTGTTGCGCATTTTACCGTTCCCGAGAATACTTTTCTTAGCACGTTTTGAATAATTGCCGTGAAAATTGCTTCACAGGCATTATCATTTTTGCTGATAATTTCGAGGCATATAGATATTTTTCTTACCTGTTTCCCTTCACTCGCTCAGTCTAGACTTACGCAAAAACCATAGCTAAGTAAAACAGACTTTAAAAAGATCAAGGGATCAGTTGGCGGTCGATAGCAGAATATGCACTAGCACT